GGGATAATTATTCTTTACAAATTAGCTTACAACCAGTGTTGTGACACACCTGCCTGAAGTCCCACTAATACTTTCATTCTCCTCTTACTTGTTCTTTCCATAAGAGTCTTGGTCCTTTTGCTGTGTCATCTGGCCCAGGATTTATCATGTTGTGAAGGATTTCATAATTTTCAATTTGCTTAAGCATGAGCAGGCATGGAATTAATCCAGTGGAAAACAGGCTATATTACAAATAGTGTTTGCTGTCCAGAAGTGTTGCCCACTGAGTGAATTAGTGGTATGAGACATTTGAAGCCTCTTTGCTATTGATCTATATGCTCTCCCTATACAACTGTCAATTTGTATGTATTTTTATATTTTTTTAATGAAGCTATATTTTGTTTTTTTAGCCAAGAACAATTTTCAGAGTTATGTAAGTCAGGGCATGTATCTCGGTCCTCTTGTTGCAACAGGCTTTCAAGGTTGGCCATGTAATGGGACTGTAATTCTTCCTTGTTATGTAGAAAATATTAGTCATTTCATAATGCTGGATTTTTTCAGCAGGTATATTTTAGCTTTGTCATACTATAACATTTAGTCTTTGTGCATATGAGAACAACAGAGATTGATCACCCCACCTTTTTTAAGGATTGTTGAGATGTATACTTAGCTGTATTTTTAACAGTGTTTTTAACTGGAAGGTGGTTGGGACTCTTCACAAACTATTCTGAAAAATCTGTGTGTATCATCTGAAATTTTTATTTTATAGAACCTTTTAAAGACCACATAATAGTGTGTAACTAAATTTTTTGTGAAGATTGTTTAAAGAGAAACTGCTTTATGTATTTCATATGGACATTACTTCTACTTCAAGATCTTTTATTGCCAAGCCAGCTAGTACATGCAATTTCTGTCTGCTTTCTTGGCAGATTTTGAGCTTCAATTGCTTTTTATCCCTTGCAATTACAGTGCAATAGAGTATTAAAAAAAAAAGGGGGGGAGGAGGAGGAAAAAGAAAAAAAACAACCACAAACCCCATCACCCTTCCTAGTTTGTGTTCTAATTGTCCAGAGGATGGTTGTCCTTTCAATGCAGCAGCAAGTAGCCCATAGGGAATCCTTTATTCACTACTGTGAGCTTAAGATTTGTCTACATTGGCCATTACTTGTGCCAAAGAGAGTTAGTTCATTTTGCCTGTGATTAGTATTTGCCTAAAGTAGTGCTTGCCTTACTCCTGTGATTTTGGGTGTTCGAACAGTCCTTTGGTGAAGTGATGCTGGAATTGTCCACGTGGTAAATGGGAATGGGTTTTCCTTTAGTAATCTACTTTATGGGTAAGGCTAATTTTGAGCTGCAGCACCTTTCTAGATGGCATATTTCTCTTAAATGGATTAAGATACAAACTTGTTTCAGCAAAGTTTATGTAGTACACTGTAAAAGAACAAATATTGATTATTTTAATATGAATATGATCATGAGCTCCTTGCTCAATAGGCATTTTTCTTTTCCTACTTGAGCAAATCTTTCTTTTAGGAAAACTTCCTTTCTGATTTTGACATCTGCTTCTCACACTGTCCAAGCCAAAATTCCAGATTTCAGCTGTATCTTGGTGAAACTTATTTTAACCTTTTTTTGAGAAGTGTTTCCTTCCGTACAGTTGCCACTGTGCAGATGATAAGGAGGATACTTTCTGTCACTGAAACAAGCTGGCTTTACATTGGCTCCTAGGAAGAGCATTGTGCAGATGGCCTTAAGTTTGGCCTCTTTGTTCTTGCAGATCATTATTTGTTGTATCGATTGTTTATGCCATGTGTTTATCCTGGCATAATTTTTGAAAGAGCTGCTGTTGTGCAGCAGTGCAATGTACAGTGTGTCCATTCACGGGGTAAATCACTGCCGTCAATCAGCCGGTGCAAGAGCTGCCCTTGTTCCTTAGCTGCTGGCCGGGCACAGCGTGTTCTCCATGCCCAGAGTGGTTATAGTCCCACATCCTGGGATGTTTTCAGTAGTGTTGGTCATGTTAACTGCAGTGCTGTTGGTACTCAGATCTCCATGAACTCAGAACAGAGAGCTCCTCACCCAGGAAAATAGTTAGAAATAGTTTAAGGAGAAGACAGGGCAGATGGTGCTGATTGGGCACAGGGCACGAGCAGTATTAGTTTGTAAATGACTGGACTCTTTAATTTCCTTATTGCTCTGTTTTCCCACACTCGTCCTTCTTAAACCACATTGATTCCTCCATTTCCCTTTCCCTAAAGATCCCATAGCTACTTTTACCATCCCAAGTTGCTCTTCCTTGCACCTCATAGTAGGTGCTCAAGCCCCATATGCAGTAACAGCCGTCGCTCTGCAAGGTGCTCTGGGACATTTACTCAATGTGATGGGTCTCACACTGGCCGTGAGGCTGATAGCTCTTCTGGGACAGCCCAGTGAGTATTGGGTTCTTCTGTCCTCTGTGTGCCTTTGCATGTGAAGATGAGCCTCTACCACATCACCTAAATGTTTTGCACCTTGTTAAACATATTGGGTGTAAGAATTTTTTCCTTATGTCAGGGAGAACACGAGAAAGGTACTTTGAGTGCTTTTTGTTGACTTGCATACTCTTGATGTGTTTTAGCAATCCAGGTTAAAATGTTGAAAGAATTTCAGTGCCAAGAGCGCTTCACCTCCCCTCTCCTTTCGCCCTTAGGGTGGAGAAATGAACATTTGGGTGAGATGCTGTCAAACCATAAGTATTATTATGTCCAAGAGCAAGATTCCTTACTGAGCAATGTGAACTAAAAGCTAAATATTATACTATCTCTTGAAATCACTTTCCTTAAGTCTCTGTACTTCATGATAGGGCTTTAACTTTCAATTGATTTTTGCTCGAAAGTCTCAAATTTGTTGGGCAGTCCTCAATCTATTCTATCATTCAAAATTTGTATTAAATATTTGCCAGTGTTCCTTTTAAAAATAATGCCTGTACCTTTAATATAACAGTATTAAGTATGACTAATCCAAATTAAACCAAAGTGTTAACTTACCCTTAACTGTCTAAATAAACATGGGCATATTTTTTTTTTTTCCCTCCCCAGATTTAGCTAGTGAGATGTTTGTTTCAAACATGTAACTTGCTGTTGTCAAAGTTTTCAGCAGGTGCAATGAAGTGCAGCAAATGTTGCTGCAAAAACCCAAGTCTGTCTTCGACTTCAGCAGATGTAGAGTGGGAAGAGTCAAGTAAATGAGAAATCACTGTGATGAAATGAAATTTATGCCACATTTCAAATTTGACATCATTGGTTTAGGTCTGAAGTGAAAACAAATGAAAACAGCAATCACAAAGTGAAAACTACTGTCCCAAAGTGTGTGAAGGTTCTTGAGTTATCTTAGTAAAGATTTGTGGGGTTCCTTTTTTGTTTGCTTGTTTAAAAGAAGGATTTTGAAGTCTTTCTCAAGCTTTTTGTCTTCCATCTATTGCCTTCTACACTTTGCCCACTTGTTTTCATGAACAACAGAGAGACGCTCCTACCACAGCACATTAACTCTTGCTCAGTTTTTTCTTAAATTTGCTTTCTCATGCATATTAATGTCATCAGAACGTGTGGTTTATGCAGTGCTGGATACAGCATGTGTGACTTGACTCTGGTTGCCTGCAATACACTTGAATGCTGATTTGAGAGGGGACACACACAGTGATGGAGGAGCTGCTTAAGCACCACCTTTACATATCCATCTGCCTAGTTTCTAGAAAAACATTCTAATTTGGTTCAATAAATGCAGGAAATAAAATCAGTTATATGATAACGATCTTAGAAAAATGGAATAACTAAGCTGTTGGCATTGACAGTTTTTTTTTTTTTCCTGGCCTTTCACAACTGTTTTGTGATATGCAGTAAGTATTCTGGCTACATGATACCTGCACCTCAATATTCATATTCTGAATTTATAAATATTTTATGATTTATTAAATCTCCATTTGTGATTATCTGCTGATCTAAAGGGTAGACAGTCTACATGTCAGAACTTGCCCAAGCTTGTCCTGCAGGCCTGTGGGAAAATCCTTAAAGGATTGTGTCAAAGATAAAACACTGAAGCTTAAAAATAGACATTCACTCCTCAAAAGGAATTTGCTACTCTTCCAAATTTGTTACTCACTGAGTCATGCTCTTATACACAAATACAGTGACCTCATCTTTACTGGATAGAGTTGAAGCTGTTCAAATCTTTTGCATTAATTTCATCTCCATCAGATGCAAAAAATGTGAATGCATACACCTGTAGTCATGCACACACTTTTTTTTTTAAAGCCAACAAGCTATTGCTCAGAACACAGTATGTTTGTCATTTTAACAGGTGAAACTGCAGCATGTATTGTGCCTAGCTGTACTTTTAAATTAATGTGTAAATGTCAGGAATGATGCAGTTCAAAGTAGCTCTAAACTCTAAACAAGTCCAAACTTTTTTAAGGCATAACAGATAAGCCTTTTATTTCAAACTTTCATCTGCCATAGCTCTGCTTGCATATATAAAATATAATAATCTATGTAAATAGGTTTACAGCTTACTTATATGTTTCCTTTTTTGTTATGACTAAAAATAATTTAAATAGCTCTCAGGACTTTGGATGGATCATGTAGGTTGTCAATCAAATAATTTGATTTCTTTTAATTGTTGATTTCTCAAAATTCAATACAGTTCACTTACTCTGATGTTTTAAACTTATAGTCAACCTGAAATAAGTGTGAGGTATAGGTTTTGTACTCTTATTCCACAGCTTGAACTGTCAGAAGAGAATCCGTAAATAAGTAAAATTTCTTCAGAGGATTTATAAAAGCTTTATCTGAGTTTTTAAAAATTGTTGACCAGATTTGAGATCTGATGAAATTATGATCCTGTAATGCCTTATTTTATATGTATTACTTTATGGTAGCTAGCTTTTTAAATTATCCCCAAATCTATCTGATTCTATTAATCTCTGTGTGGAAGTCATTGTCTAGAGCTGTACATTAAAGAACTTGATGTTTTGGTTTTGCTTTTAGGTGAGTTGTGTAACCTCATAACGCTGGATGTAGCGCACAATCAGCTTGAACATCTTCCAGAAGAGATTGGAAGCTGCACGCAGATCACAAACCTTGACTTGCAGCACAATGAGCTTTTGGACCTTCCAGAAACTATAGGTATGTGTAGAGGCTGAAGAAAATAAATCACTATTTCAAATAGTTCAGTAGGAGGAACAAATTTAAGAATGAGCATTTGGTTGGTGACTGTAAAATGACTGGTGTTCAGCTCAAGGCAGTTTCATACTTCAGATCAAAAGCAAAGTATGCGTGTTACCTTAAATGTAACTTCTAGCTTTCTGAATTACTTCATTAAATCTAGCTGTGCTGCAGAGAATGAGAGTTATAAGGAAAAAAATTCCATCACTTCTAGCTCTGACTTAAGGTGTTCTGTGGTTTTGAATAAATATCTACAGCTTGTCTGTCCATTCCATAATGAAACTGAGCATAAAAAGTAATAAAAGGCTAAAAGACTCTTAGTAGAAGTGTAATACTTTGGCAGATAGTTAAAAAGATAAAAGTTTTAAATGAATTCTGTATATTTTATGCTGTTCCATAGAATAAAAAAACCCCTTCCAAGTCCACAAAGTCCATGTTTTGATGCAATAAAATACAGGGGATTTGCAGTTTAGATTGGGACTAGGACTGAAATAAACACTGTCCTGGTCAGTGCCAGAAGCTCATGTAGGATGATATGACAAAATGTGACTCTTCCTAGTTAATGAAATCAGTTTTAAACAGGTGGCAGAGAAAGATGCATGCTATGATTTTAAAAAGACAAAAGCTAAGGCCATCATGATTTTAAGCTCTTATTTGTCACCAGAACATGCTTGGAAGAATGGACGTTATCACTTAAACAATATCTATATTGAATATTTCATTAATGTACTTTAACGCACAGTAAAGTGAATGAGCAGAAGAGTGAGAAATCATTTAAGAACACTCCAGCTTTTCTTCTAGCAGTAAATTGTTGAGTGTAGAGCTACTGTGGCTTTTTGTTTAGAAAGTTTGACCCAAACAGAGTTTACATTGATGAAGTATCTACTGGAGCTAAACTTCCTTCCTGGATTGATGATATTTTTAAACTCTGGAGATCCTGTTCCATCTGGAATTTGCATCTAACTTATGCAGTTCATAAGCATAGCCTTTATATTTGTAGCTGTTTTGTAAATCTTATTGAAAGTTGTTTTAAATTTATATGTAAATTAACATACATTTCATATTTAGGAAGCGAGTTCTCTCGATAAACTGTGAATTATGGGGAAAATTATCTAAGCAACAGTGAGATTTCCATTGTCAGGGCTTATTTAGACCACTATTGTTAATTCTGTGCAGAATAGTATGATTTACTGAGGAGTTTAGTGACTAGCAGTCACTGAACTTCTCAGAGTACCACAGAAATCTTACTTATGTTGTAAGACTCTGCTTGCAGGAAAGGTCTTTGGGTAGGAGAGGCACAAAATTACTTAGGCAGTTAAGTCCTTTCTGATAGATAGGGAATTGCTGACTGTGCAATCGAGATTGTTTGGACTCATCTGTTTTTTTCAGAAAGTTATTGTAAGCTTAGGTGGTTTGTCTTGAGTCAGGTTCATACCTGGTTGGACTGGATTTCTGACTATTTTCTTTGTTTTGTTTTTCCATTGCATTGTCCTAGTTTTTTGAAGTTACTAATTCTTAAACGTATATAGCTGTCTCTTTACATGCTTATCTGAGCTGAATATCAATGCTATATAGCTCAACAAACCACCGAAGTTAGATGAATAATGGTAAGAGACAGCAGTGCGCTATCGTGTCTTTAACCTTACACTGGTTCAGTTTTTGCTCCACTGGCAAATACCGGTTGTTTGTATTGACCGACGTGTAGCAGGTGAGCATTTCTGTTTAGAGTAAAGAATTATAATCAGAAATTGGTATTTGTGCCACATGGAGTTCACAAACAGCCAGAACTGAAGGGAAAAATTTTAAACTCCAGCTTAAATGATAATGATCAACCTACATTTATGCATGTTACAGAAAAGACAGCCATAGCCAGTTCAGCAACATTGGCTTTATTTCTTAGTCATCACAGTTTTGGTTCAACATTAAAGCAAGTTGCGGCTTGATTTTTAGATTACAGCTTGCTTTGTGGTTAGGATTGTTCAGCAAGAGACTTTGAGTACTGAGAAAAATGCAACGAGTAAATGGTGCATGGCGGCCTGGCGTGCGTCACTCAGCACGGCTGCGGGTCGGCCTTGCCAGCCTCTCTATCTTTCGCTCCAGTTTTTGTCTCTTCCCTACTTGTGGATATCTACCTGGCGTTTGGCACAACTGGCTTTTCTTGCAGTGTTTACACACTGCCAGGTTTCAGTACGCTTAATATATAAGTGCTGCTAATGTTTCCCCAGTTCAGTCGGAGGTGGGGGTCGCAGACTGGGTACAAAAAAGACCAAGCACATTTGCTCATTATAAATATTTAATGTACTATGAGCCTATGAGTCTCCTGTTATGGAACAGACTTTCCATTACTGCCAGGTCTGTCCCCTCCTCCCTCACTGACACCCTTTTGATGGAGGCCTGTTTTTTTTTTCTTGAGGGGGATGTTTTTCTTAAGCTGCTTTGAAAAACAAACAGCCCCCTTCCTTTTCTGTTTCTCCCTCACCTCAAAAAGGACCCCTTCCCTCTTTCCCCCACCCAAAATCCTTACAAAATGCTTCTTAAATTGACTGCTTGACTGTCTAACCAAGTTTTGGTTTTACCACAGAAAGATTTCTGGACCCGCCAATTAAAAAAAAAAAATTAAAAAAAAAGGCTTGTTTTCTGAAGTAGCTGTACTGTACTGAAATGTGCTGGAGCTGTGAGGAAGGGATGTTGAAGGGTGACACGCAGGGGAGTGGCAGGGAAGGGATTATGCATCAGCAATGATTACAGAGGTAGCAGAGCCAATATACCCACTCTGTAAAAATACAAAGTTCTTGTTTCAACTAAGGCTGTATAAGCACACTTTCGTGCTGTAACAAATGTCGATTTTAGATATTAGTTGTCAGGAAGTGACCTAATGTCTTGCTTTATAGTTATTGGCTTAATACATTCATATCTGTATTTCTGTTGATTGAAAATTGTAAAGTACTTTGTATATTAGATCACTTCCTGTAAGAAAAATGAGCTTTGTGGAACAGTTTAGCACATTCCAAGAGTCTCAAGTCTATAATCAAATTCAAAGTGGGATTTTAGTTGCTTAGTGTTTTAATTGCAGATTCCCCTCTCCCCCCCCCAATGTGTTTTTGTTGTTTGTTGTTGTGGGTTTTTTTGTTGTTGGTTTGGGTTTTTTTTTTGTGTGTGTGTGGGCAATTATGATCTACTTTTATTTATATAATGTTTTATCTCTGTATACTTAGCTGGCACACTAATATATCCAAAAGATTATAAAAAAGGTGAAGAACATACCATTTATACTAAAATTAATAAATGGACTTTTGAGAAAGAGAGAAAGCAAATTTTGGGTGGAGTAAAGTGTTTCTTTGGGTTATAAACTAGTTTGTGGTGTGCTCCTCTTTGAACTTTCAATTTTAGGATTCTGTACAAATGTGTTCACAATCTTATTTAAAAGCGCAGAAACACTTATATGAGAAATAAATTCAATAGAAACAGGATTATAGCTTTTTTTAAAAAAAAAACAAACAACAGATTCTTCATCTGGTTTGTAATTTTCTAGTTTTGTGTGTGGTTACATGTGGTGTTTGATTATAGTCAAATGTGCCATATTCATGGACATTTAAGGCAACAGACATTTTAATAAGAAAAAGAATAGTCAGTTGTAAATGTTCCAAAATGATGCTTTAAAAGCACAAAGAATTCCATCACTGGACACACTTTCCAGTGTCAGACATGGCCCTGTTCCTAAGAGATGGTTAGGAAAATGAGAGGCGTATTCAAAGCCCTACAGTATATTCCTGCCCTTCACTGGACACATTAGCTCAGAAACTGAAATCACAACTCTCATGAAAGTAAATATTATGTGGAGTAGCTTTGCCATTTTTGCTAGGTGAAATTGTGCAACAAGCTAGGCTTCGCATGCGTTTAGCCCCAGTCTACCTATGAGAGCATTGTGCTTTTAAGAAATATAATTGTTAAATCATGAAGCATCATAGCCAGAGCCAGGCATATGTAATTGGTACAGCTCAGGTTATACAAATTGTCGTTGAGAGCTTTAAGTCCCTAGAAGTCCTAGTAAAGATATTTCTGTAGAAATGTGGAACTATTTTAAAATGGTATTTTAAGTTTAGCAGGCTTAGAAAAGCTAGAGAAGTCTTATTCTGAAACATCTGACAAAATGCATTAGTCTTGATGAGATCCAGCAAAACACCTGCAGCTCCCTCAGTGCTCAGGAGCGATGTTCATACATGACTGATGGGTTTGATGCTGGTAATTATTCTCCATTCTGACAGAGCAAAGTGCATAGGCTCCTACACCAGCGTTGATGGCAGTATTCGTATTCTTAAAATTTAAGCACATGACCTAATGCTTTGGTCTGTGAGCATTCAGTACTTTGCAGGATCAAGCCTGTCTCACAGGCTCACACTCAGAGATCTGATCATCGTTCAGTGCTTTGTCTAAGGTTTTGTTCTTGGACTATGCTGTTAATGAAATGTTCTTAATTAGATTCTGCTAGTACTGGGCAGTCGCAGTAAGCCTGGCCTTTTTTTTTTTTTTTTATATATCCGGTGGAAAGCAGTGGCTCTCACTCTTTTATTCTCATTTTTGGGTTATTTATCAGCCTTTGCTAGTTCTCATGGTGGTCTCATAAAGGGAACGAAGCTTCTCGTTCTTGTTGGCTTCAATTCTAGACTTAGTAAATGGAAAGCAGTGAAATTGGCTAGAAAATAGTGTCTGGAGAAGGTAAGTGGGAAGTGACTGCACTGCCTCCTCCAAAGGCAGAGCAGGAGGGATGAAGAAAAGCTGTGAGGTGTCGACCTCAAACTAGTAAAAAGCAGACTGTACTGCAAGCGATGGGTAGGGAACACTTGGGTCTCTGTTCACACAGGTTGCAGTAGATGCGAAAAGCTCACAGGGCAACGTGACGATTATGCAGAAGAAAAAAATATCAGTTGCTTCCAAATTCAGGAAGTCACTGAGCCATATGC